TGTTGCGAAAATGCGAGGCGAATGTCAGATGAAAGAGAGAAGCCGATAACACAAGAACCTTCCATAGCGAACAATTCGATGCTTCTACGCTTTCGTCTGCGAGCAGCCGACTGCTATATAAAGGCGACACTCAGCTGCAAGTCAAGCAGTGACAAAGCAAATTGGTTGGCGTTAACATCAGTGAAGACGTAAAGTGAACGCGTAGGGAATTACATTTAAGTAGAGGAAATTGTGAAAGTTGATGTTAGTGATTATAAATAGTAAAGTGCAGTATAATTGAATTGTGAATTACTGAGAGAATAAAGGACATTAGATAGAATCTTTATAACGAAAGAAACTGCAAACTAAGTTGGCGAGTTTTTATTTAACAATCCAGAGATCGTACCCGAAGGATCTAGAAAATAATCGAGGTTGATTCAGTAAAATCGTAACAATATTATTATTTTTTTTCAATAAAAATGAGAATTGTTTTTGTGTTAAAATACATATGTCTCTTTTTCTCTTTTTGATTATTAAGTTATGTACCGTAATTTGTGCTGTCTGAAATTGTAAGATTTTTCCAGCAAAATTTACGGTATGTAGTCGACTGCCTGATGGGAAAACAAATTAAAAAATGTGCAAGAGTTTACCAAAGTAAATACTTATATATATTTAGCCTATTCAACTTAACGCTTTTTTTCTGTGAGATCCAATTAGAGAGAAAATTGTAGGTCTGATTGGGCGAGACACTTGCTTCGTTTGCTAATTTAGGATTAAGTTATATATATATATATATATATATATATATATATATATATATGTAATTAGCGCTTTGCAATCGCTGAAGCGATTTTTTGGCCGAGCTCCTCTCCTAATTCATGGTTTTGCGTCTTGATGTTTTCGAACGGCTGATGGTTTTTTATGAGGAGCTATATTTTGTGTCAGAAATACACCCGGCGGGATGACCATTCCCTTCCAAGGGGCGACTGCAATTAGGATATTTACCTTAATTTTTTATTTAAATTCATTTTCCATAATATTTGGATGTTGGTGGCATCGGGATATAAATGCAACCCTTCCAAATGGCAGTGCGCAATGATAACCACTCGGCTACCGCATTAGCATTAACGTTACGAAAAAAATTATGAAGTCGGAATTGCATAAAGCGAATGACAAAGAGGGTTTCTGGCGTTGAGTGATATTTCCAACCTTGTTACCAACGTGAAGAACACTAAAGCTATGACGGTCACTAAGTAGTCTCATCTGCCATGGTCTCTATGCAAATAGGTTTTGATTGTGGGTTATCGATAAGTAAATAATCGAACAAAAGTCCTTACTATCGAATACACCAATTTGATTTTTACCGTTTCTTAATATGTCATTTGAAATTCCTATATATATGTAAACACGTTATTGTCGTATTTCCTTGTGTTGAAAATTAAATAATTTCATTAAAATAACCGGTGCTTGTTCAAGTTTATACACGATGAGTTTTACAAATAGAAGCAATAGTAGTAAGATGGATAAACCTACATTTGATAAGCACCTGGAGAATATTGTAAAAGCAATTTCAGTTGAGGATAAAATGCGAGACTACTTGTTGAAGGATTTCAAAATAATTAGAGTTTATTTAATAGATTTATTGAAAGATGATCCAATAATCGGTCCCATGATAATAGAAACCTTATATCCAGGTGAGTATTTAAGAATCAATTTTTCTTGCAAACATATTTTTTTGCTGCTTGAAAAATTTGTACGAGCACAAAATTTCAAAAACTGAATCTCAGAAATCTTTGAAGTGGCAATATCCACTTCACCCCCTTTCTCTTATTAAAAAAAATTAATGGCATTATTTCTCTTAAATTATATTGTAGCTAGTAACTTCAACTGTTCGGTGACTCTGGATTTATCACGCTACACAAAACTTGGTGTTGAAAAAACACATTATCCATCTTTTTTGAAATTAACACATCGTGGAAGAGGTCTACTGAATGGCATGCAAGATTTACCAATATTTAGAAACGGTGAAAATATTGCTGGCGGTATTATAACCAATATTGTAAAGAATTTAATAGATCAAGGTTTAAATATTTGTGGTTATTTTGTGCGTGGTCACATGGGTGATATTTACGAACTAGAACTAAACCCAGAAACAAAACACATAGAGCATAGTTATGCGGCCTACGATGGTGAATGGCAGGACAATTATATAATAGTAAAAGCAATAAGTGAGGAAAGAATTATGAATATACGCCTACGTGTTCTACTAAAGTTTTGCCACAATGAAACGCCTAACGATATATTACCACATCCAACGCATAATTTAAAAATGGTGTGGTTACTGGCGGCTGATGTACGTTATTCGGAATACTTTTCGCTATGTGCTCCTCTCACTGAACGCGAATTGGCCTCGTCACTAAATAATTTAATGGCTATGCGTTTGTTATTTGCACTAGTAGCCTGCAATAAAATGCAGACGATAAAGAAAAATCATTTGGAATCTGTTACGTATGAAATTATGTACACTAAGTCACCAAAAGGACCTGCTAAAACACGTAAAGAATCTGTGGTTGATAATATAATTTGGGTAGGTATATATACATTTGTTAGGATAATTTATGAATCGATAATTTTTTTTTTTGGTAAAGAAACGTCTGTATTTTTAATGATTACAACATTAAACTTTCTTCAGAGTTTGCGTCGTATGATATATTTCTTCGATACGAGTCGTTTTCCCTTTTTTTGGAATATTAAAGAAAATCTTTTGGCGTTGATAAGAAACCAAGGCAGCAGACTATATACACGTAGTCTTTTGCACATTTTGCTGGATCAGATTTATAATATGCGAAGAGATGCGGAAGTAGCTTATGAAGAAGTGGAATCGTTTTTCGGTAAGTATAATAATTGTATCAATTATTAAATATTAATATTCAAAAGTATAATTTTTTTAGGGTTACATTCAAATTCACATATTTATAATGTGGACGATTTTGGCATTTACAGAGCTTTTGCTGAATTATCATAATTGAGATTGTGTTGAAATTAATTTGTTTTATGCAGCTGTTATTTAAATTATTTTCATATTCATCAATATTACTTGTTGCTAGAACTTTCCGAATACGGATGTATGCATTGTATTTGCATGCCAAAAATCTTTCACAAATATTTTGTTTACATATTTTCAATTTGGAAATGTAACATTCATGGACATATGCGCGGCATAGAGACGCATAGCGATTTAATCAGTACAAGAAAAAAATTAATTGTTCAATTATTTTGATTTTCCAATATCTTTATATATATTCATGAAATATAGTAATTACATTATTTATGTGTTTTACATAATCGTTGACGCGAAAAATAAAATGTGTATTTATTTTGTTGTCAGAACGTTTAAAAGCTTTCAGATGATTTTTGTATAAAACTTCGTCTTGTTGAAATCCTTTCTCTTGGGCTTAAGTTTTATTTACTTAACATATTTAAACTGATGCTTTGTTAATTATGTTTTTAAACGCAAAAATTTATTTTCCCTTAAATAAGTTCAACATCTTGCAACATTCTACCATTCTTCATGCGTTCCGTAATGCTATTTTGCTGAAATTGCAGTTGTATTAGGATAATGACACTACTGGCGATGCTGTTAACGGTCTATTGAGTGGTGAAAAAAATATGAATACTTTGAAAATTGCAATAAAGATTATTTAAATGCAGCATAAATATATTTAAACTACTTTTGGTTACCGAATTATAGTAATACATATATGTATGTAAGTGAAAGTTCTTTTTAATTTAAAGCAGAAATTTGAAATTGAGGCTTGCAAATAAATGTTTTCCAAGTCTTAGCATACCGTATAAAGTAGTATAAGATTACAGCGCGTCATTCTTCCCACCAAAAATGTATATTTTTTCTGCATTTGCCAGTGTAGAAATGCACTCAATTTATTACGCATAACCAAGGAAGATCTAAAATACTTCGAACTCATCCGAATCTCATGTGCGCAATTGCGTTGCTGAAACAAACAATATATATATAATATATATACATACACACAGGTCCATACATTAATCATAAAAAAATGTACACAGACAATTTCACATACCTCCATTTGTGTTACATATCCATATACAGCATATATGGTCACCTTATAAATTCGTGGTAACATAAATAGAAATATAAATACATACTCTTCCGAGCGTGTACCACTTTCCGTTGCCTTTTGACACATCAGGAATGTCATATTGGTCAGTACAGTAAAATCATGAAACAAACTAATGCCACAAACCACACCAAAAACATCGTTAATTTGCAGGATAAGTTCAATATACCGTTTGTAATAGTCAATTAGGCGCGTAATGCGTAATTTAAATTTACACTGCTTACTAGCATCCTTACGCAAACCGCAATATTCTTGTCGCAGCAGCCGCTGTATGAGACGGTAGCGTATACGTTGTAAGTCCATCATACCCAAATGTAGAAAAAATGTACAGCCTGGCGTAATGGTGATGCTCGCATAGCTCAGCGCAAACATAAGCGTTGTGGCGTAATCACAGTTGCAATTGGATAAATTGAAAACATAAATTAATGAGACCGCATAGTAGTAAAACATGCCACATAGTGTTATCGGCGTGAATTTACGCATTGTTTTGTGATAATTCCATTTTATTTTCGGGTAAGTCGCTTGCATTTGTTCATCCAACTCCTTAAATTGGAAAAGTAATTTTAAATGCTTATATCTGTTTGCATGCATTGCGCTGGTGACGGCAATGTATGTCACGGTGCTTGTGAAAGTTTCAAAACCGAGTATTAATTTCAAAACAGGTGATAATTGGTCGAGCATTGCTTTTGAACCATAACCGCTGGAATTCTTCAATGCTATACTACCAACGAAGCTTAGTATTAATGCTGACCGTATGAAATGCGTGTAGACAATATTGCCTTTCGTTAGTTGTAGTGTCTTTCTACGTAATTGAAAACTAAGGCAGCCTCCATAGTAGAGAATATTATAGATCCATTTGAAGCAAAGATCAATAGAGTCAATATTTTCTGTATACACTTTCATCTTTTTAATGCACAACTGGTATGGCTCACTTTCAATTTGAAATAAGCGCCGACTTGAATTAAATTGTTTGAAATAAGAGGTTGCCGCCTTTGAACTCCTTCCATATGAGTGTAATTAATTATCAATCAATTAGATCATTGATAAGAGTGTTAATAATTGCTCTAACCACTGTTAATACACCTCAAATTTCGAATACACCTGAAACTCTCATAATGCGCCTACTCTCATAAGGACATTAAGAAGCACACACAGACATAAAAGCTTAATACAGTATTACAAATTTTTTTTTTTTTAATTTGTATCTTTCTTTTTTATTGTATTTTTATATAACTAAAACTGCCCATATAAGCATACAATATTGGCGAATGCAAATTGTACTCTTCCACTTAACAGGAAACTGCTTATTATGCTTTCTTTTCCTTTTTGTCCAAATGTCCGTTACTATGAGCAGCATGATTGTGAATATGATTGCTATTAGCGCCACTAGTATTACTATTTGTATTTCGTAAAGTTTTTTGTAATACATATGCGTCCGCAGGCTCAATGCGTTTATAATAATGTTCTTTTGTTTCAACAATTTCAAAACCGAATTTTTTATAAAACGCTATAGCACCTTCGTTATTGATTTGCACGTGCCTGAAAGAAGAGCTATTATTAGTACATCAACGTTGATAGATATTCAAAATAAATATATTACAGAAAGATACTGTCGAAATTGCCATCCTTCTCGGCATAATTGAGAATGTGTTGGAACATCACAGTGCCAATACCAAGACGGCGATATGATGATAAACAGCCCAAAGTCATTATGTATAGACGTCGTTGATTTTCGGAAGTATCAATACGACAGCAAACTGCACCCACTACGATATCATTATAGTATACTAATTTGGCCAATTCACCTGCTTCGAGGACATCAATATAGAACTTTTCGTTGTATGATACAGGAAATACGACGGTGTTGAGTTTTTTCAATTGTTTAATGTTGTGTGGCGTTACATCGCCCAATTCAATATTTGACCTGTGTATACATATGTAGGGAATGAAATTGTTAGTGATTCGTTTTTTTTTAGGTTAATGTATAACAATGCTTCGCAACTTTACAAACCTTGTCATTTGAACTAAAATTGTGTGAGCTTTCGCTTTATATGTGTTAATTTCTAAAAAATTTTGTTTTATCCAGATTTGTGATGGGAAATTGATCAGGATATATAGTAAATCTGAACTCGAATAATTTGGAAAAGTTTGAGGGCGCTAGGCGGCGAATCACAAATACCATTGACAATTGCGAACAGATGTTGTTTGACAACTAGGACCAGTGTTGATAAATAAAACGATACAAATTGTTAAAAATTACAAAAAAATATGCTTTTCGAAAAAATTATGTTCAGTAATTTAAATATTTTATGAAAAGCGCATATAATGTGTAATAGTATCTTATAATTAAATGATTTTAATAAGGTAAGGAAAAAATACAGTTTGAGCGCCATTGCAAATGTTTATTTTGACAATTTGACTGATGTTTGTTTTGTATGTTTTGCTATTTTGATGCTAAAAATTAATATTGAAAGAAAAAAAATTAAATGATAGTTAATATAAATATTGGGCTCCTGGGTCATGTAGATTCAGGTAAGACAACACTAGCGCGTGCTCTGAGCACTATTGCTAGTACCGCGGCTTTCGATAAAAATCCACAGTCGAAAGAACGAGGCATTACACTGGACTTGGGATTCAGCGCTGTGGTTGTTGAAGCGCCGTCTAGATTAAAGAGTCTTGCACCTAATCTTGAACAAGTGCAGTTCACATTTGTCGACTGTCCTGGACATGCGAGTCTAATACGCACTATAATTGGAGGTACGCTATTCGAAGATGTTCCATAAAAATGATAGATGTATTTGTTAAGAAATCTTATCCTATAGGTGCACAGATAATAGATTTCATGCTGTTGGTCATCGATTCGCAGAAGGGCATACAAACACAAACTGCTGAATGTATAGTAATTGGAGAATTATTACAACGAAAATTGATTATGGTTGTGAACAAAATAGATTTATTGGAAGAGGCTACGCGTGCAGCGCAGTTACAAAAACTGAATGGAAAGCTGCGAAAAACTCTGGCGCAGACCAGTTTCGATTCGGACAGCACTATTTTCAATGTATCTGCGCTGGAAAAGATCAACATTGAGGTAGATTTATTTTATTTATTGAATATTTTTTTTAATTTCTCATTTTGTCATACAGGATCTTTTAGATAACATTGTTTCACAGGTTGAAATACCTAAACGCAACAAAGACGCTCCTTTAGTTATGTACACGGACCATTGCTTTTCAATTAAGGGTCAAGGCACCATTTGTACTGGCACTATAGTGCAAGGTAGCGTTGCGGTAAATGATCTGGTGGAAATACCTGCAATTAAAGAGCAACGTAAAGTAAAGTCAATTCAAATGTTTCGACGGCCAGTACAAACAGCGGCCATGGGTGATCGTGTTGGTATTTGTGTTCCACAATTTAATCCAAAAACTATGGAACGTGGCATATTAACGCAACCTGGTTATTTGAACAACGTATACGCGGCATGTATACGTATTAATCCTATACGTTTCTATAAATTTGCAATACGTTCCAAAAGTAAATTGCACATAACAATAGGACACGATACTGTTATGGCAAATATGATTTTATTCAAAAGCGTCAATAACAAACCAACGGAAGAATTCAATTTGAATGACGAATATGAATATGTGGAAGAATTGGAGCCAACAATAAATTCTATAACAGAAGATTGTATATTCGCTTTGCTTGAATTTCAAACACCCATATTGGCTGCTGAGAATGCCACATTGATTGCGGCCAAGTTGGACTTAGATGCTCAAAGCAATTGCTGCCGGTTAGCCTTTTGGGGTCGCATGCTTTGGTGTACACACGCTAATAACTACGCTTTAGAAGTTTTACCAATATTTAAAGTGTTTAAACACAAATCGAAGCAGGGCTTCATACAGCGGCTTGTCAATGAACATGAAATAATTGTTGAGAATCTTTTCAGTAAACAGGGTAATCGTGAAATATATTTGGGAAAGCAAGTCGTATTGTCTACAGGGGAAACTGGTGTTATTGAAAGTACTTTTGGGCAGAAATCAAAGGTGAAAGTAACTTTTATGAATGCTCTCAGACCAGAAACCTTGAATGAATTGAAAGGTGGACGTTTTGGTAGTGTAAAGGTCTTGCTTAATTATAAAAAATATATTTTCAATAAACAACTCTCACTGGTACAATAAAAATGTAGTTCATGAGTTTTATTATGACACTTTTTTTTTATAGAAAACACGAAACTTCCAAAATTTTTTTTTAAGTTATCAATTATTGCATGATGAAACTTTTGGAAATGGACACTAGTAAGGAAACGTTCAAAGTATTGTTAGAAAACTATTTCCTTTTGACGTTTGTATGTAAACTGCAGCGGAAGCGGAAATTCGGCAATAAAAAATTAAAACCTTTGTACAACCTCTACAATGATTAAATCAAATTTCCAGCTTTTCTCCGAAAACTCGTTACTTGCAACTGTTTAAAAATAAAATTGTATAATATACTATGTAGGTATATGCAATAATTTCCTACAAATATTTCATGATTGGAAATTATTCGCAGCCGTGATTTTGGATGTTCAGGAGCAAAGCTGCTATTCAACACAGTTTGTGTACAAAATTTGAAAGCCACTGTAAACAAATTGGAGAAGTCAGCTGATTTTCACACTCTACGTATTTACAAAAAAGCAAAACCTATTCCAGTGATTGTTTAAAGAAAAATTTAATTATTTTTCCACAAGAGGAAAGAAATTTTTGTTTAGAATCATAAACATAATGGAATGGTTTAGTATAGTAATATTAGTTCTATTAGGTGTGCAAATAACACAGCAAGTGGACTACGATTGTGAAGATTTATTAATGGGTCAATATATTTGCCCAGATCCTGGAAAGAAGCATATAGATCCCGAAACCCAGCAATATTTCGGTTGTACAAAAGAGAACAAAGCACGTGGTAGGCATTGGTGAATCTGAAAGCTTTTTATTGAAAATAATACCAAAGTATATAATTTCAGTTTGGTGCTTAGCTGTGGATGGAATCAATTGCACGGAAACCGCCAATAATACATTCACAAAGGAGTTTCCCTGCCAATGGACGTAAGTCTAAATTTTATAGCTGATTTATTTATGTATGTATGTTATTACGTAACAATGAAATTCTTTTCACCTTAGCAATGGCTATCACCTTGACACCACTCTGTTGCTGTCGGTCTTTCTTGGTATGTTTGGTGTCGATCGCTTTTATTTGGGTTATCCTGGTATAGGCTTAATAAAGTTTTGCACGCTTGGTGGCATGTTTCTCGGTCAGCTAATAGATATTGTACTCATTGCTACACAAGTAGTTGGACCCGCTGATGGCTCGGCGTATGTGATACCATACTATGGTGCCGGAATACATATTGTACGTAGCGATAATACCACTTACCGATTACCGCGTGATGATTGGTAAAAATGGTACTCAGTTTCAAATATCCATTCACAGACTGAGCACGTGTAAATGTAATTGCATAAGAAGATAGAATAAGTAGTTATACGAGTTTTTATAAAACTAATAAATTAGGACTAAAATAAAAATAATAAATAAAAAATAATTAAATAATATATTAAATGCATGTGTTGTTGTTAATACGTTCGGGAGTCATTCGGTCATGTGGTTTTCATACTACTTGAAATTTTATAAAAAAAAAAACAGCAAAATACGCTTAAAAATCGCACTGCGCATTCAGACCTCAACCAACTCAAATGCTCATCGCAAAACTACCAATAATATTTCCATTCTTAAATAAATAAAAAAAAAATTATCTTGTATGTTCTTTCTGCTAATTATCATTAAAGAAGCTGAAAACATTGAAATAAAATGAATAGAAATATATTAAAATTAAGTGAAATGAAAATGTAATAAAGTCAAATAAAAAAATGAATGAAATACAATAAGCAAATATATTACAAAATACGTAAAAAATAAGATAAAAAATATAGAAAAATGAATAAACTAAAATAAAACAACAAACAATGCCAAAATAAAATTAATTCGATTAAAAAATAAAACAATATAAAATAAACTAAATTAAATAATAAAAATTGAATTAAATAAGAAAATAATAAATATTTGTAAAAATATATAATAAATAAGAAAATAAAAGTCTCAATAAAATAAAATATAATGAAATCAATAAGATAAAACAATGAAATAAATTGAGCTAATATAAAAGTGCAAAAAATAAATTAAATAAAGAAAAAACTAAACTAAATTAAATAAAAAATAATATAAAAATTAATTAAATAATAAAGTAATTTGTAATTAAACTTAATTAAAATAAAAAATAATTAAAATTATAAATAAAAAAAATACATTTTAAGGTTTTAATACCTTTATTGATTTAAGCAAAATAAAACAAAGTAGAATAAAATAAAAAAAAAATTAAAATGAAAGTAAAAAAGTACGAAAAAATGAATTTAAAAAAATAAAAATGAAATAACACAATTTAGAATTAAATGACATGAATTAAAAATTATATTTAAATAATATTAAAAATAAAAGAAACGAAATTAACTGAAATGATATTAAATAATAAAATAAAAGAAAAGGAGAAACAAAGATTAATATAAAAAAGATAATGAAATTAAAACGATTTAAAATAAAATTAAATTAAATCAAAAATAAAATAAATTAAAATAAACTAAAGTTGAAATAAAAAGAGAATAAATAAAAATAAATATAAAAAAACGCTGAAATAAAATAAAATTAAAAACTAAAAAAATAAATAAATATAAGTAAATTAAAAAATATAAAATGAAATTAAATAAAATTTAAAATATATCAAATAAAAGAATATAAAATCAAAATGTATTAAATAATATAAACAAATCGATTTATATAAAAAATAAATGAGATAAAATTAAATAAAAATTAATTTTTTACAATAACAAATAAATAAAATAAATTAAATAATAAAAAAATTAAAAAGGTAAATAAAATTAAGAATAAAATAAAATTAGGCAAATTAAATTAAAAACAAAAAATTAAATAAATAAAAACAAAAAATTAAATAAAATGAAATAAAATAAATTTAAATTAAATTAACTAAAAAAAGTAAAAAATTAATAAAAAATTAAAAATTGTTAATGATTCTAAGTAAAAAAAATAAAATTAAAAAAAGAAATAAAAAAAAATAATGAAATAAAAACAAAAAATTAAGTTAAAAAATATGAAATTATATTAAAATATACAATAAAAAATATAATAAAATAAAAAAAAAAATTAAAAAAAAATTAAAAAAAGTATTATATAAAAAACCAACGGATTGCAATTAAATTAAAGTAAATAATAAATAAATTAAAAATAAAATAAATAATAAATAAATTAAAAATAAAGTAAATAATAACAAAAGAAAAAAGATAAAATTAAAAAATTAATATATAAAATTTAAAACAAAATTTAAATTAAAAATAAAATAAAAATAACGTAAAATGATTTAAAACATCATAAAAAATAAAGAAAAATTTATTTAAAATAATTAAATGAAATTAATTACAATAAATAAAGAAATATAATAAAATAAATCGAATTAAAGATTTTAAGCAAGTTAATAAAAATAAAGCAAATTAGAATAGAATAAAATGATAAAAAATTTAATAAAATTATATTAAATATAAAGAAATAAAAATAGAAAAAAATCTATCTAAAAATAAATAAATTACAAAAAAATGTAATAAAAGAAAACATTGAAATAAAATACATACAATAGAAATATATTAAAATTAAGTGAAATGAAAATGTAATAAAATCAAATAAAAAACTGAATTAATACAATAAGCGAATATAATATAAAAGACGTAAAAAATAAGATAAAAAAGATAGAAAAATGAATAAACTAAAATAAAACAACAAACAATGCCAAAATAAAATTAATTCGATTAAAAAATAAAACAATATAAAATAAACTAAATTAAATAATAAAAATTGAATTAAATAAGAAAATAATAAATATTTGTAAAAATATATAATAAATAAGAAAATAAAAGTCTCAATAAAATAAAATATAATGAAATCAATAAGATAAAACAATGAAATAAATTGAGCTAATATAAAAGTGCAAAAAATAAATTAAATAAAGAAAAAACTAAACTAAATTAAATAAAAAATAATATAAAAATTAATTAAATAATAAAGTAATTTGTAATTAAACTTAATTAAAATAAAAAATAAATAAAATTATAAATAAAAAAAATACATTTTAAGGTTTTAATACCTTTATTGATGTAAGCAAAATAAAACAAAGTAGAATAAAATAAAAAAAAATTAAAATGAAAGTAAAAAAGTACGAAAAAATGAATTTAAAAAAATAAAAATGAAATAACACAATTTAGAATTAAATGACATGAATTAAAAATTATATTTAAATAATATTAAAAATAAAAGAAACGAAATTAACTGAAATGATATTAAATAATAAAATAAAAGAAAAGGAGAAACAAAGATTAATATAAAAAAGATAATGAAATTAAAACGATTTAAAATAAAATTAAATTAAATCAAAAATAAAATAAATTAAAATAAACTAAAGTTGAAATAAAAAGAGAATAAATAAAAATAAATATAAAAAAACGCTGAAATAAAATAAAATTAAAAACTAAAAAAATAAATAAATATAAGTAAATTAAAAAATATAAAATGAAATTAAATAAAATTTAAAATATATCAAATAAAAGAATATAAAATCAAAATGTATTAAATAATATAAACAAATCGATTTATATAAAAAATAAATGAGATAAAATTAAATAAAAATTAATTTTTTACAATAACAAATAAATAAAATAAATTAAATAATAAAAAAATTAAAAAGGTAAATAAAATTAAGAATAAAATAAAATTAGGCAAATTAAATTAAAAACAAAAAATTAAATAAATAAAAACAAAAAATTAAATAAAATGAAATAAAATAAATTTAAATTAAATTAACTAAAAAAAGTAAAAAATTAATAAAAAATTAAAAATTGTTAATGATTCTAAGTAAAAAAAATAAAATTAAAAAAAGAAATAAAAAAAAATAATGAAATAAAAACAAAAAATTAAGTTAAAAAATATGAAATTATATTAAAATATACAATAAAAAATATAATAAAATAAAAAAAAAAATTAAAAAAAAATTAAAAAAAGTATTATATAAAAAACCAACGGATTGCAATTAAATTAAAGTAAATAATAAATAAATTAAAAATAAAATAAATAATAAATAAATTAAAAATAAAGTAAATAATAACAAAAGAAAAAAGATAAAATTAAAAAATTAATATATAAAATTTAAAACAAAATTTAAATTAAAAATAAAATAAAAATAACGTAAAATGATTTAAAACATCATAAAAAATAAAGAAAAATTTATTTAAAATAATTAAATGAAATTAATTACAATAAATAAAGAAATATAATAAAATAAATCGAATTAAAGATTTTAAGCAAGTTAATAAAAATAAAGCAAATTAGAATAGAATAAAATGATAAGAAATTTAATAAAATTATATTAAATATAAAGAAATAAAAATAGAAAAAAATCTATCTAAAAAAAAAATAAATTTCAAAAAAATGTAATAAAATAAAATATTGAATTATATTAAAATAAATTAAGTAAAGGAAAAAAATTAAATGATTCGGTTTAAATAAAAAAAAAATAATAAATAAATAATATTAAATAATAAAAAATTAAAATGTAATAAATAAATTCAAAAAAAAAAAAACAGAAAAAAATTAAAGCAATAAAGTAAAATGCATTAAATATATTAAAATTAAAATAAAAAGAAATTTAAGAAAATCAAATAAAATGTTTAAAAAATTTGATAGAAATAAAGCTAAATAGAATAAAACAAAATGAGACTAACTAAAATATTTAAAACAAAGAATGAAATTAAATGAAAAAAGTTTAATAAAACAATGAGAAAATAAAAAATTGAAAAAAACCTATCTAAAATTAAATGAATTTAAAAATAAAATAAGTTAAATAAAAAATTACAAAAAAATATAAAATAAAATTATTATTATTACTAAAATAAAATGAAAAAAGTTTAATTAAATAATAAAAAATTTAATAAAACATAAAAAATAGAAAAAAATCTATCTAAAATAAAATGAAATTAAACAAAAGAAAAAAATAAAATAAAATAAGTAAAATAAAAAATTATTAAAAAATAAAAAATAAGTTAAATTAAAAAAAATATAAAAAAAATAAATTAAAACAAATAATATAAAAGAAATTAGAATAAAAATTTATTTGAAATATTTAAATAAAAAGAAAAAAAATTAAATAATAACAAATTTTAAAAAATTTTAAATAAGAAATAAATGAAAATAATATAGTACGAATTTATGAATTTTATTTTTTTTTTCTATTTTCGCTAGCGTAATCAAAAAGCGAGCATCTGTAATCGTGTAATAAATAATAAAAACATTTATCTCTTCCACCTTGTGTGCGCCTATTCGATTTCAATTACAATATACAGGCATACATATGAATTAACGGTGATACATGCGAGCGTCATATATATACATTCATATAT